CAGTTTTTACTGCGTTTGATTTCCGGAATTTTGCATTGCTTTTCCGACACTTAATAATTTCATTTCTAACATTCATTATTTTCATTCTCGATTTTTACACTGTATTTCAAGCAATTTAAAGTTAACAAAGAAGATGGAATCATCATTTCAATAGAATGTATTTGGTTAAATTAACACAAGTGAACTTGTGATGAAAATTTATTAAACGAAAGTCAAGAAATAAAAAGTTAAAGATTGTATTTTGAAAAATAAATCAAATCAAGTCACATAAAACAAAGACAGGTTGTAAAGCTCACACACCGACACACACACAAACGTTTTGGTAACTCGGAATAGTCCAGAGTAAAACTATATTTTCTTGATGACGGAATGTCCAGTACATCTAATATTCACGTCCGGGATAGTCCACGGCGGATCTAAAAATTCTCTCACACAACATACGGGATTCACTCAAATTTCAATTAACACATTTACGCAATTTATATCATACATAAAAGTCAGACGCTCTTTGATGTAGAGAATTGACACTAATTCCTTAGATAAATACTGAGTGACAAAATCCTTTTTACTATTTAAACTTTGATAGGTAAATAACTTAAGCATATGTCAAAAATAAGCATTAAAAATAATTATTTTCATAAAATTAAATTCTGTTTAAACAATATAAATCACTAGCAGCGCAAATACAGACTTTTAAAAAATCAGAGGTGGAATCATGCGAATTTAATCCTTTTATGGCACCACCAACCCCGTAACGAGAAAGTTATTATGTACATGTATATGTTCTCATCGAACTGACCGGTCTCCGCGTCTTGAACCTCCAAGAACATGTATTGCATGTTCTTGAATAATATGTATTAATAATTCTTTAAGGAAATCTAGATCTCATGTAGGAAACCTGATTTATTTAAGGAATCACTGTCTAGTTAGGAAAGTATGCCAGGCGATCAACAATAGTGGGAAACATGGGATAATTTTCATATTGGGGGAAGCCCGTTATGCTAAAATTATCCCATGTTTCCCACTATTGTTGATGTCTCTGGCATACTCTCCTGACTAGACAGTGATTCCTTATATTTCCATTTGATTGTGAAATAAAATTGTAGATTTAGACTTTAAAAATGTAGATTAATAGATTTAAATAACAAGAGGACTTCCATGCCAATTTAAATAGTCCTCGCCCACTGACGTCAAACACAAAGTCAGCCGCACGAGATTTACATGCATATTTGGCCTCCTTAGCGTCAGACACAGAGACAGATGCGCACGAGATTTGCATGCGTATTAGGCCTCCTTAGCTCCTGACCTATCGTCCTGCCTAATTTATATTCCGACAGAATTATCAAGAAATAAACTCCCCCTAACTTTCAAAGAGTTATCACAGAGAACAAAATTAGAAATGGAAATATATTCTTTTTTTTTTTTTAATTATTCGTACTTCTCAATCTATCATGTTCAAATTACATGTATTTATTTTTTACATTAAACATTAAAACCTTATTTGTCAGCCAGTCTGTCCATCTGTCACGAGAACTTTAAACTTAATAATAATATTGAATGAGTTGAAATAGGACTTTGATATTTCACATGTGCATTATTAATGTGACATCTGATTTTCAAATATACTGTGATTTTTTACCCTGTGACCTTGATCTTGGAACTTGACCGACTTAAAAAAAATAACATTACTTTAAATTTAATATAACTTTTGAAAGCTTCCATTTTATAAAAATGTATTAACTGTGACAACACCTTTTAAAATTCACTGATTTTTTACCCTTTGACCTGCTTTTCAAAAACATTAACAATACTCATACCTTTTGACTGAGAAGAGATAGGGCTTTTATTTTATCCCTATGAATTACCTATAACAACTCCTTTCTAAATAAACTGACTTTTGACAACTTGACCTTGAGGCTTGATCATAACTTTTTAATGAGGAGAGATAGGGCTTTCATATTACACAAATATCACAATGTTATGTACGTAACGGTTGTAACCTGTGATAAAATCACATCAAATACTAGTATATCATGAACTTTGACCCTGAAGTTTATCCGGCTATTCCAAAATTTAAACATTGCTTAAAATTGACCATAACTTTTTACACAGTCATGTATATTAGCTGTGACAAGGCTTATCTTGAAAAAAGGTATGGCTTAAATCATGGAGAGTGTGTTACGGCCTTGAATCAAGGTCATTTAGGATAAGATATTTTGACTGGATGCATTGTTTGAAAAAAAACGTGTAAATTTGTCAATACAGTAGCACATAAATGGGATATGCTCATCACCAGCTTGTGTCATGGTGTGACCCAAGGTCATTTTGACAAGGTCAAGGTCGCAAACATTCCTTTACTATCATTTTTTTAATAGTAAAACATAAGATGATATCTACTCTTAAAAGATTGCTTTATCATTAGAACGTGGCATGACCTTGACTCAAGGTCATTTCTCTCTGTCCATAGCTCCGACGGAAGACCTACTCGTTGCTTTGCAACGAGCTCGGCTCTAGTTTTTTGTATTTTTTTCAAAGAAAACGAAAAAAAATTCATTACATCCAAATTAAGTGCTTCACGTAAAAATTTTTCTGTAAATGAATGCATTACATGAATACCTTATAAAATATGTAAAGAAAGTCTGGTTAGACTTTTTAATTTTTTTTTTTATAAAAAATTACTTATGAAAATAAAACACATTATTTGTGAATATTTTTGAAACATATGGTTAAAAACACCACAAATCTAGTCATATTGAGGACAACATGTTTGTCAATCATATTTTTAAAAGAAATTGAAACGAAATTGAGAAATTTTAGAAAAATTAATTTTTTTAATATTTGGACCTAACCCGATCAAAATTAAACTGATCCCGATCAAAATTAACACAAAATGAATAAAATGCTAATTTTTTGCCTCTTCAAGTATTTACAATGAAGAAATCTATTTTATTGTCAGGTTCTATAATGTTTTATCCCTTTTAACACCTCATCAGACTAGTGTTTTTAGGAAAATGCAATTTATTTCCAATAATTGTACAATTATGGTCGTAATCGGTTTAATTTTTCTCGGGATTGGCCAAAATTAAAAAAAAATATTTTCTCTAAAATTTCTCAACTTCGTTTCAATTTCTTTTATGAATATGATTTATGAACATGTTCTCCCCAGTTGTGGCTTGTTTTAAGAAGATTTTAATCACAAGTTTAAAAAATATTCACAAATTATGTGTTTTATTTTCATAAATAATTTTTTATAAAAAAAATTTAAACGTATAACCAGACTTTCTTAACATATTTTATTAGGTATTCATGTGATGCATTCATTTACAGCAAAAATTTCACAAGAAAGCATTTATTAATATGGATGTAATGAATTTTTTTTTCGTTTTCTTTGAAAAATTACAAAAAAATTCATGTAAAATAAATAAGAGCTTATGTCGGCCTTTCAATGCTGAAACCATTGTTTAAAAAGGTTGATTCAGAGATCAATGAAATAAAAAGTTGGTGTGGCATTCCTCCTTAAATATTTTTGAGAGGGGGAGACCTATAGAGATTGAAATAAGAAGTAAGGACTGTATTTCAACCAAATGAAATTATTTCTTTAGCTGTTCTTCATTAAAGTGATTCTCCTTATGTCCTTTCTAATTTTGCTACAGAATTACTCATTTCAGAACAAAGAAAAAACAAATTAAAAATTATTAAGGGTTGAATATTAAATATGGTCCCAGTTTGTCATAATAGTTAGAAGTATTCTAACAACCCTTGTAAATGCCGTTTTACCAATATTTGAAAATGCAAAGGTGCAGATCATCCCCATTCAGAAGCAAAACATTTTTTTCAAGTGATAGGAATGGGAACACACTAGTGTTGTAAATATCTGATCATGTTGAACATTTTCAGAAACAGATCCTTGAGGGAACCAGTAACAATAGTTACTTTGTTTGGCGGAAATTGATTTTTGAATTTGATTTAGCGCATTTCTTAATGTTTTTATTAATCTATAATTGACTGCCGTCATGAGAAAAGAGCCCTTATCGTTTATGTGTTTATGTATATGACATTTAGCTTGTACATGAAAAAGGGGAAATTATACACCACTAAATGTAATATTTTAACAGTAGACATAGCGTCAGGTAGTGTTTTAGCTATTTGAACGCAGATTGCTTTTAATTTAAAAAAACTCAAAAAATTGCGAGTTGATATAGTTTTTTTATTATTAATTTGAAAAATAAACTATCAATCACATAAATGTTAGCTCAAAAACAACTAAAGGCCTAATGGAACTTATTGTCTGAAGTTATCTGATAAAAGACAATGCAAAATATAACATTAGATTTAATGTAAGATACCAACAACATTGTTAACATGGATGAACATATTCCCAATTCACAGACCTGTTTCTTTTGTAAACTGTTGACATTGTACAATAAAAATTTGACATAAATATTTCTTATGATCACATCATATATCACATTAAAGCTAGTTTTTCTCAAATAGAAATGATTTTAACAATATAACTTTTTTTCCTGAATCACACTAATGAATTGTTTCTCCACCAATATCAAGAGCCTTTGAGTTGTTTTAGATTTTCTGTAAAAGAGAGAAAAAGTACCATGATAATTTTCTTTTGTTGAAAAATACAATGTGACGTTGTTCATTCCTAAATCAAAAATAATATTACAAACATAAGTAAATAAATATATACTGAAAAATGTAATAAACCCTCCAATAATGACTGTATATTTTCTAAAGATTAACCTATAACACAGCTGTATATTTTCTAAAGACTTACATATAACACAGTTGCATATTTTCTTTAGAGACTCTCAATACCAATAACACAGCTGTAAATTTTCTGTAGGGAATCTTTATTGTTATAGATATACCAATAATACAGTGACTGTTATAAATTTTCTGTGGAGAATTTTAACTGTTATAGACTTAAGTACATGTATAACACAGCTGTGTATTTTCTGTAGAGAATCTTAATTGAATAAAATTACCTATAACCGTGTTGTATATTTTCTGTAGAGCCACTTTCGTGTTCATATTCTTTCTGTTTCCATAGGATATAGGAAGTTCATAATCCGGACCATACGACATAAAATACTGAAATTAGTGAAATTAAGAATTCTAATTCTCTTAATTTAATAAAACATGTACCAAATAGATGATCAATACCTGTTTTGGATGACTGATTAAATAAATTGTGATCCTACTTTGTCCAATGTCATTCTGTACATTCATTACTTTTACTCACTTCACACAGTTAAACAACGAATTACATGTAACTTTGAGATAAAGATAATTTTAGAACTTTCTGAATAATCTCCTTATCAGTACATTTATAATGACAAACTTAGTATTTACTATTAAAAAAATCACATTTCCTATTTAGAAAATATGTTTAAATTTTGAAACAAATAAAAATTACATTGTGCACCATTCTCTATTTTGAATAAGATAATATGGCTTGATAGCTTCCCATGATATATATGGTTGGCATTTTCTTTGATGACCACAATTTCCCTTATGTGTTTTCATAGTTTTGTGTTGAAACAATTTTGACCACTTTAAAAACTACTTGAATTTTCAGCTTTTTCTGTTTGTTTCCAAAAATAAATTTATGCAAAAAAAATTCAACATATCAAATGAAAACATGTTTCAGTATAGTAGCAGAGTCAGACCTTACCTTGTTATCTGGGATTTCTTGAGGGAGTTTCCGTCCACAAATGACCGCAGTTAGATGGGCCCAACATCTGGCTGTGTTAGCATTGTGGTAACCTCCTAAACATTTCAAATATATTATAATAGTGATGGTATATTTCTGTCTTTAATCTAAAACCATAACTAGTTCCACTGAAAATTACCATTCTAGAATTAAGTTTTGGAGTTCACAATTTTCATTTCAATAAGATTACTCAAAATAAGAAAATGTCTTAAAATCCTGACAATGAAAGTGAAAGTTTGATTTCTTTTGTCTTGGATTGAAAAACAATTGCATAAGACGGAATAATGATACAAAACTATTTCACATTTGTCTTAATTGTGTTTTCATTCTCAAACTGTAGCCTTATTTTCCCTTTCGGATACAGTGAGGTCTAACCGAGAAGAAACTTTTGAGTTATCTGTAAGTGAGATTTTGAGAAACTGAGCATAAAATACTGTAAAATATTGATATTTCCAAAATCACTTTGACACACCAATGGTATTCAAGATATCCATGTTCAAGTTCTCCTGTATCTATATACAATTTTATACAGTGTACATTGTAAGCACTATGTATTTCAATCTCACCTCCTCCTAATACAAGTGTAGGCAGCTTCCACTGTAGAAGGAACTGTAGACACCGGCCATACGCCGTGTGAGTGAGATTAAAGGAGTCCATAGGGTCACCACTGAGTCCGTCAGCCCCACACTGACACACCACGGCCTGGGGTACAAACACTTCATGGACCTTGTGTAGGACTCTGGGAAAGAAATAACTAGATTTATTTACTATTTATATCAAATAAGAATTATTTTACACTGAATTGCATAAGAGAGAAATCTACCCCCACCACTCTAACAATACATCCAGGTAACATGGACAACCATTTTTATATCAAAATATGTCTGATAGTATAACGATATACCAGAATTAGAACATAACTGTCATCCTAATTTTTTAATGGATAGAATAAAAGGCAGACAGACAAATTGATTAACATAGTCATTTGAGGAAACCCTTTTACTGTATACAGGGAAATATTTTGCCCCCATTTAATTTTTGCAACTTTGGCCCTAGTCTGGCATAGGCAAATTTAAACAGGGCTACTTCAAAGTAAATTGTATACATGTAATATCTTAAACAAAAATCTTTCTGGGCGAATTTAAAACAGGGCAAACTTGTTTTCAGTTGTGAAAGGGTAAAAATAACCCTGTACACAGTATTTATGTCTTCTAAAAGCTGTTGCTAAGATAAACCTACCTTATTATAATAAGCAATGTTCAGTATACTACAATCATTATGATACAAAAGTTATTTTAGAGATTTATCTCTTTTACCTGCACACCAAGGGAACAAACTCTTCATCTCTCATACCGTCCAATAGTGGAATGTTAACAGTGCATCCCTTTCCTTTGCCCATTCCAGTGTCATTTAACCCTCCAGATCCTATACAGATGTTAAATAATAAACAATTAATTAAACAATTTAAAAAAAATGCCTTCAAAGTTCAAAAAGTAGGTCACAGTGACCTACTTTTAGATAAATATGTTTTAAGGCCTCTAGATGTATCAACCTACAAGATTTGGTGATTCTAAATCTCTCAGTTTTCGAAATAATGGGATTAAATGTTTTGGAGAAGATAAGCCATAAAATTCAACAAGAGGCCCAGGGGCCACAGCACTCACCTGACCACATCAGGCTTGAATTTAACCCCCCACCAGGCATTCATCATTTGAACAAACTAGAATCTACACTACCTGAGGATCATTCCATAAAAATATCACTTATCATAGCTTTGAAGTACTTGAAAAGAAAATTTTTAATTAGAGGTTTCCCTATATATCCCTATGTAAAACTTGGGTTGACCATTTTGGCCCCACCCTAGCCCCGGGGGTCACGATTTGAACAAACTTGAATTTACACCACCCGAGGATGCTTCTACATGAGTTTCATCTTTCCTTGCCCAGTGATTCTGGAGAAGAAGATTTTTAAAGATTTTTCCTATATATCCCTATATAAAACTTTGGTCGGCCATTTTGGCCCTACCCTAGCCCCGGGGGTCATGATTTGAACAAACTTGAATCTACACTACCTGAGGATGATTCCACATGAGTTTCATCTTTTCTGGCTCAGTGGTTCATAAGAAGATATTTTAAAAATGCCATTAATTTCTCTCTAATTCATATTTATTAATTATCTCCCCTTGGAAAAGGGCGTAGCCCTTTATTTCAACAAACTTGAATCCCCTTCACCCAAGGATACTTTGTGCCAAGTTTCAATGAAATTGGCCCAGCGGTTCTTGAGAAGAAGTCAAAAATGTGAAAAGTTTACGACGACAATAACAACGACAACGACGACAGACAACGGACAAATTTTGATCGGAAAAGTTCATTTGAGCCTTCGACTCAGGTGAACTTAAAAGTAGGTCATGATGACCTACTTTTAAGTTGATGTTTTTTGTGGACCCAAGATGCACCAACCGACAAAGTTTTATGATCATAGGCCTTAAAGTGTCCAAAATATGCCTCCAAATCAATTTGAAAACAAAAGCCCATAAAATTTAAAAAGTAGGTCACCGTGACCTACTTTTGTATTAACATGATGTCAAGTCCTGAGATGTATCAACTTAAAAGATTTGATGATCCTAGTCTTTTTAGTGAGCAAAATATCAAAGTTTTTAATAAGTGTAAATTTAGGTCAACTTTGAAGTGACCTTGAGACCATGCCCTTTGCCCCAGCTGGGTAATGCCTTGAACAATTTTAAATCTTCAACATATCTGAACCCGTGTATGTACGTTGGGTGAAAATCTGCCTGGTGGTTCTTGATAGGAAGATTTTTTAGCAACCAGTACTTTTGGTTTTATTTTCGTGATTATCTCCCCTTGTTTAAGGGTCCCACCCCTAATTTTAGTATTATTGGTAGCCCTTGGACCATGGATACCCTGTGACAAATTTGACAATAATTGGCCAAGGGGTTCTTGAGTTATGGCCCATATTCTAAAAAGTTAACGCATACCGCTCAACGCACACTGCACATATGGACATATATAGCATTAGCTCTTTGAGCCTTTGGCTCAGAAGAGCTAAAAACTTGAGCATTCCTACAAATTTCTTGGATTTAGCAAGGATATTTTGAGCCAGTAAAATGCCTATGACACAAACCTGGGAAGAATCCCGGGGAATGTTTGTGAACTGATACTGTCATCACCCTGGATGATGTACAAAATGCTTCCTCCACACCTGTTAAAAAAAGATTGAGAAAAGTTAAAAGAATATAAATAAACAAACAAATGTAAGCAAAGATAGAAATCACCAACACAGGGATAAATGAGGAATTTTAACATCAGTTTGGAATGTTTGACAAACATAGATTTCAAATTTGAGAATAATGTTTCATAAAAACAACTGAAGAATCTATCAAATTGTGATGAAAAAAACATTCTGACCTTTTTCCAAACATGCTCTTTTCTATAGATGTAGTTAATGAAAATTCAGAGAGAATCAGAATAAGTAAGTAATACACTAACCATCTCCATGATGTACATCTAGGTCAATGTATAGAACTCTCTCAAACTTCTTTCTCATTTTTAAGATGGCAAGAACAATGTCATTGACGTAACAAAATCCCGATGCTGTGTGTCTGAAAAATAAATGTTTACCAAGTTTTCTCAACCCATATATCAATACATGGTTATGTACAAAGTTCATGTCACACCAAAGGCATGTACAAGGCAAGGGAGAACTGTCTTAAGGATTAATATTCAATATTTTGACCTTTTTCTCAATAACCCAGGCCCTAAATTCCACACTCTATGTGATGGCTAACAGAATGAGACCTTGTGACTTTTAATGCGAAGACCTTCTGAATTATAATATCTTGCAGAGTAGGGACTCTGAGTTGATTCTTACATCATGGACTCGAATCCCATTGGGGGACGCAGAGGAAAGTCCTTCGGATGGGACCGTATTTTAAAAAAAAAAGTCCAGTGTCACAGAATGTGCTCACACGAAAAAGATCCATCAAGCTTGGTGGCCCTGCATGCCTAGCAGAGAAAAAAAAGTACATCTCTTCCTGCAAAGCATGACATCTCCATATGAGTGAAAAATTCTCAAGAAGGATGCTAAACAACAAACAAACAAATCATATGACTTATCAATTTCCCACTTTTAAAATTCACAAAAACACTACATAAAACAGCTCCATCTTCTGTGTATTTACCTCTTAGCGTGGTGCCATCCCCCACACCAGTTGACCGCCACTTGACTCCGTCCCTCCAGCAGACATTCAGCCGCCCTTAGTGACGCCCCACTGGTTAATGAAGCGTATGTGTAAACGTGACGATTGATCGGGCAATCATAGGCTACAATAGGAGGAAAATCATAGTCAAAGAAGTGTATTTTAAAAGTTAAATTAAATACTAGTAATGCTAAGCCCTTTAATTTTCCTAATTTCTGTTTTTAGTCAATTTAGACAAAATAATCTTTCAAAAGTCAAAAGATAATAAAATACAAGACTTGACAGTTCCAATATACATATACATGTACTTTCCAAAACAACAATAAAGATATGTTTCTATAAACACTCAGGTGTGAAGCTAAAAATCATCAATCTTAAAAATTAAATGACGATTTTTAGTTGTATAAAATTTAGTTTCTGAAATGACTGAAATTCATCATTCTTTAGAATATTTGTATACTAAAGGATGATGTGACATAACTGCTATCTGGGGCCCCTTTTTCCATGACGAATTATATTTAAAAGCCTAGGTTTTCAACCGTACGGTTTTCCTCAGTTAAGTTTGGTGTGGGGTGGAGCTTAATCGAAGCAGCTGAGAAGCCCCGAGGGAACGACGCTGGCTTGTGATTACTACCTATATACACAGGATGTTACCTGAGTGTATTACCCGTATGCGTTTTCCTACAACTTTGTAAACTGAGGCCGTTTTTTTCTCTCATGTTTAGCCCATAAATTAAAATGTGAAATAAAGCATTTTTTGAAGCAGACAGAATCCTTCTCAATTTCTTTCTTTCAAAATAATTGATATTTTTTATAATTCGACAATTCTAATATACAGTGTGTTTCTCAATGAAGTATAACGAAAAAACATTTAGCACCAAAATCTGCCGTTGTAATCTGGCGACAAAAAGGAAAGTAATTCAAATTACATGTTGTCTTCATAAAACGAAAGAAGAAAGTGAATCATAAAACAGTCTCTCAGTAAATAAAAATGAAACTTAGAAACGATGTTTTGAGAATAAAATGTTGAAGTTGAAATATTATTGTCTACATAAATATCTTTTTAAGATAAAGCCTACTTGATTTTTCCATAACGCCGATGGTAGAGAGTGCGTCAACATGTCTCGAAGTAAAGCAACACGTACAAGTTTGTCTTATTTAAATAAACAGAAATTCGCGTGATTCATGAACAATATTACAATGTTGTCATACTTGTTTTAAAGAATAATTTTTATTTAATTCCATATTTTAGCTTCAAACACAGGTAGGTTTATTTTATTAATCATGTTAATTAATGGAGGAATAAATGTACATTTGCTCATGTTTTGACACGGAAATTAGAAATATCGATTGTAATCGTGATATGAAATCCTCCCTTTTAAAATTAAATTTATATAATATATATTATATAGCAATGATTTTTCTTGTCATTTATTTAATTATTTGACAGATGCATTATATTTATGACATATTCTTATGAATTGAAAAAGAAAATTGCTGATTGCTTCTTTATCACGTTGGCATGTGCGGTAGGCATCAAAAGCCTTAAAGTTAATTCGATGGTCGGTATGATCTCCAGACAGGTACACAAGATATACACAACAGCAGCAAACTAAATGTCAATCAAATCAAAGTATCCAATCCCAGGCTTAATTTCAGATGATTGACAGGGGTATTAAGACCAGGTAAATTTGAAGGAGGTGCTTATTTCCTCCCCCTTTAATCTACAACGATGTTGGTAGTTTTCAAACATGAGTGAATAAATACGACACCTTTTGAATAGTTTCATTAGTTCAGGCACATTTTAATTACAAGGAATACTGCATTATCTTTGTTTTTTTAGACCCTACCACAGCTAAATTCGGCCAGGTTTGTGCAAATATATTCTTTTATGAGAAGAGAATGGACGAGTCTTAGTACAATAGAGGGGTATGCGTGTCCGAGAAGACCTTATATGGCTATTGTTATTATTTCGCACTTAGTCATTGTCCAATCCGATGACAGAACAACAAAACATGCTGGTTTTCTACGTTTACATTTTATCGCACACATGTGGTTTAGGTCAATCTACCTGTTATCTTTTTCTACATTTCAAACTTTTATAATGATCAGCCAATGCTGTTCATACTTAATAATACGCATGGATTTTCAGCATTTACGGTTTTTAGGACAAGAAATGCACTTGAAACTTGTATTCAACGATACTCAGGAAAATATACGTGTAGACCTAGCGAATTGCTCACCAAACACGCTACAAAACTTTAAACTAATGTATATCATGTAAATTTTATCAATTGTTTGTAACTGTATATAAATTTTACTGTGCCCTCGGAAATAGTACATATGTAGATCCGTGTCTAATCTGTGACTCAAATGCATAAAAAGATATCGGAAAGCAGTAAAATTTCAAGCATGTTTCCACGTATTTTTGTGGTACTCACTCGTACCGAATTTTATTTAGCTGATTGGTCAGTTAGAAAGTATCGCCTGTGTCCCGATTAGCATATGAATTCATTCTTACGTCAGAAATTCTAGTTCCGTTGATCTGTTTATAATGGGAAAGGCCAACTAGATTTTACGATTTTATAAAAAACAGCATGTGAGCGCAGTTAGGTACAATTTTCTCCTTTCACATATAGGTAGATTTCAATAAAATACAGTGACCAGTCAAAGGAGAAAATTGTACCTACCTGCGCTCGTATATTTTAAGGGCTTCGAAGAGTGGGGTGGGGTTAAAATGCAATGGGAATTGGATGTAAACATGCTACCCCTACCCCAATAAAAGACCTATATCTTTCAAATCACGTTTCTATTTTTGTTAAATATAGTATTCTATAAAGGTACACGTATCAGTGATTAGTTACATACAAAAATTTGAGTTAAATTTAGACATATACGAGGGGCCGCAAGTCACCTCATCCTTTCATTTCAATATGTGAAACTTCTGCAAAGAAAATGAACAGAAACTGCAATAAGTGGAATTTTTCTAAGTACAAGGGGCTCTGACAACAATGGTACGATTAGTAATCAAAACAGAACTTGACCTATATACCGGGTATTCAGCTAATAAATCTGTATACTAAATTTCATTTCAACATGTGGAACCTCTCCGAAGAAAATAAACAGAAACTGCAAATAAGTAAAATTTTTCTAAGTACAAGGGGCATAACTCTTACAGCAATGGTGCGATTGTACCCAAAATAGATTTTGACCTAGATATTCAGCTGATAAATCTGTATACTAAATTTCATTTCAGTATGTGCAACCTCTGTGAAGAGAATGAACAGAAACTGCAAATAAGTGGAATTTTTCTGATTCCAAGGGGCATAACTCTGTCAAAAATGACGAGATTGTACCCAAAGCAGTCTTTGGCCTGATGTATCTGTTTACCAGATTTCATTCATTTAGTTGAAAGAAGAAAATGTATGGAAACTAAATGAACCCAAGACCGACATACGAGGGTTGTTCCATATGTATTGTGTATTGTACCACAGCACGATAACGCCTTGCACGATTTCATCGATATTTATACGCCTGGATAACTCTATTCAATACCTTGCCAACAGTATAAACACAAATCTTCAACTACACATGGTTGTAAAACAATCGTCATTTCAATAGAGCTAGTCGTTGACCTCTTTTATAAAAAGGTTGGAAAACGGGTTAGAATATTGAAGAAATTAGCTCTTATATAAAAGTTCGCACAAAACTCGGTAATTCGATAAAGCAGACTTTTACTAAACTGGGGGAAGTTTATGGGTCTGATAAGGTGTCTTATGAGCACTACTGGACGAAAAAAGTGCTGAGAATCCCAAATTTTACTGATAATGTCTGATAATTACTGATACGGTGCTGTTCTTGCTGATAAATACTGATATTTACTGTTTTTATTACTGTTGTTGCTGATAATTTTAGTTGTAAGTTGCTGATAAATACTGATAATTACTGTCGTCTTTTACTGTGGAGTCTGATAAATACTGATAAATACTGTTGAGGTACTGTCGCTGCTGAGAATTGCTGATAATTACTGTTGAGGTAACTGTCGATGCTGAGATTTACTGATAATTACTGTGGTCATTGTTTTAACCTGGGAATGGATTAAAATAGCCTGAGAAATGATTATTTGTTTTTGTTTTTTTAAAGTATTTTAACAAATTCATTACAGTCGATTACAAAATAAATTATTCTAAATAAAAAATTCACATTTTATTAATTTGTTTTCATTTTTCATATATTAATTTCATTATAATAATTTTTTACCACAATGTTAACATAGGCTTTAATAAATGTGTATGTTTTTTCTTTAAATTTGTCCTTACACGTAGATGACATTATCTGAGGAAAATTATTCTGTTGTATTTGCAGTGGTTTTTCTTCCCAAATACTTTTTTAAAAAGTTTAATTTTTGTTCATAAAGGTAAAAAAAAATCTCATCTCATATTTTTTCTCACATGTATGTGTACTGTCATCAAAAGCTTTTTGTGGGTTTCTTTAATACTTCAATACAGTCAATGGTTGTAAATATCAAATTATTTTACCGTGTGGAGAACTGAAAATGCATGAGCACATTAAGTTGAAAACACCCCCCCCTTTCCAATTACTTTTAATTTAAATTAAGCTCTCATTTTAACAAGACAGTATTAAATATTTTTCATAAAATCTAGTCTTGAAGCGTACACTTTGTTATTTTATAGAAGAATGTGACAGGGTTAAATAATTAAATTGAAGCATCTTTAATTATTTTTTTTATATATTATGTAGACAGCGCGCTGTAGTTCTCCGATGTCCTCCCTGCGAATTTTATATCGTGTCGCTTTCTAGCTTTCTCTCTCTCTCTCACTCTCTTTTAAATTATTTGTTAAGGCTTAGGGATTGTACACTACATGACATAAATCTTATGCAGTGTGATTTTCAGTCAATGAAATATACGTCTTTCTTTAGGCTAATTCTTTTTTCATTGTATACAGTTTTAAGTCTATGGGCATATGACTTCTAATATTATGCGCCACTCCTTAAACATGTTATATGCGGTCAGTCAGTTAAAAAACTAAATAAAATAAATCATAACTTTAATAAACTTTTTCCATTAATGCAAACGTGCTTGTTGTTATTGAACATAATGTC